GGCGGGATAAGTTAGCGTCTCCAGGTTCTAGAGTGGGGACGGGAGTTGATCGGGAGCTGGCGGGCCGCAGAAAGACGACCATGTCTTTCTGTGCCTGGTAAACGTACCTTGGGGACAAGTCCCTTGAAGAAAGCTCCAGGACCCTCGTTCTTAGCCATGTTTGAGAGAATTCGGAAGCCACTCTCAGGGTTGTCGAAGTTTCGGTTCTGGATACGGGTCTTGATAACATCAAGGGGAGCAGAGACGACGAGAGAAGCGGAAGCGCCAGCAATAGAAGCAATAAAGTTCTGGAACCAGCTGGCCTTGTTGTAATCCTCAAGATGGAAGATATACTCCTTCGCAAAAGCAGACCCACCGAACAGCTACGTCAAGTTAGTCTTCCAATTCAATTGAAGGAGCAGAACATCACACGTACAGCGAAAGATCCAGGGGCGTTACGAGCAGCAGTCCAGCCCCAACCACGGTACAGGCCGAAACCCTCGTCGGCAACGATCTTGAGGACGCCACGGCCACGGAAAGCCTCGGGGTTTGTCTGACGCTTGATCTTGAGGACGTCGAGAGGTAGGAGAACAATCTCACCAATGCCGATCAGACTGCAGGGCGCATTAGTTCAAGCTCCTTGAAGAACATAGGTTTTCATATCCTACCTTCCAGCAGTAGAGTGCATGATGGCTTTGCCGGTCTTCTTGCCGAAGGCGTTCTCAAAGTCTGCCCCATAGTGTTTGGAGAGATAATCACGAGCAACAGGCTGGCCACCGTACTTGTAGACACGCTGGAGGACCTTGTAGCCGGCGGCGTATCCCAGGCCAGGGAAGAGAGAAACGAACTTTCGTCCGAAGGGAGCGGTGGCCTTATCCTTAAAGATAACCTTATTCAACTCGCTGGCGCCGGAAATCTACAAGCACAAACTATCAATGTCTTGTCTAATGGCATGAATCAAGAGAGGTGGGTTGCTTACACGAGTCTGATTGCTCATCAATCGCTTCGCGATGGTGTCGACCTTATGGAGGGGTTAGTGAACAACTCCAAGATTTGTCGCAACTGGTTGTGCTCAAAAGAGGTGGGGTTCCGTACAGGATGGAAGACGGCCAGCTCAGCAATACCAGCGGAACCTGTCGAGATGTTGTCAGCTCGAACTGGAGATATTGATTGCAGGAAATTGTAAAGCAATGGCACAGTCGTGTGTTTCAATTGGAGCGAAACGTACCGGAGCCGAGGACACGAGCCAGGCCGGACTCCTTCTCGCGACCAGCAGCGACGGGAGGAGACATCTTGATGAGATAGACGAATACAAATCAAGAAACTGCTTCGACAGTAGTTCCAAAGGTGTCACGAAGGTTTTAAAAAAACAGAATCGTGAGCTTGTCGCGAGAGCAAGAGTTCGGGTATAAGACTCAAGAGCTGGCTGCTTGGGAAATTTTTCCAGTCGCCCAATGCACTTATCTCTTTCCAGTTCCTGGGAATCGCCGGGGCTTGTTATTGATCCCTGCTAAATTACCCTGGCGTATTTGTGCTTGTACCGACGTCGGAGAATCGTGGAGCTTTGAGCTGTCCGTCTACGGATTCCATAGGATTTTTTTTTTCTCTGGTGTGTTGAGAGAGGCTCCACTCTTGAATCTCGACCTCAACGACCCCTGACCAAGCACTAGCCACAGTTTATCAAGCCACTAACAAGTAATCACGGTACCCTATAGCCGCGATACTAACCCATATTAATGACCTTCACACCTCAGGTCATTGAAGTCTTGAAGACATAGCAACCTCTATTTTGCGAAGTGAGACCTAGTATTCACGCCCCTATGTCTTTAATAGCAAATCAATAGCATTCAGGGTACCAGTTTGAGATGAATGGTGGTATCCGTCGAATTGCGGTTATTACTGGAGAAACTATCAGGAGTTCACCGGCTAACATAACCGTCTCGACCTGATGAACCATGAATACTTGACGAGGTTCACAGCCATCGCGGAAGCGACACTACTATATCCGAACACTATTACTCCCGAGGGCCGAGGGCTTGATAGGGGAGCATTAAGGTCATATCCTTAAAGTAGCGAAATAAACTGGGCAAAGGAATTTAGAACTTGAAGTACGGCTTTCGACATAGTACCAGAACAAAGATGATTATTGCCTGCGAGCAGAATATATGCCAGATAGATCAGTCAATGCCAGTAACCGACGTGCGACTGGCCATGTCAAATAAGGTAACTTATTGCGGTGTTCTCGTGGGTTGCCCAAAATATGGATGCAGAGATGATACAAGACCAAGACCCTACCCCAGCGCCAGTACTCATGCCAACCGCCAATTCCAAGCGAAGTTTGTGCTAGGAGGAATATATATACATATATGTCTTAGCTTCTTTTTTCCACTCCTCAATAATCACGAAGCACAGATACCAACTCATCTAACCTCATGACTTGGCCGAGAAGCTTGCCCTGCACTTCCAGATGCCTGTTGTACTTGTTGTAATGCTCTGCGGTCATGACCTCCTCTTCTTTGCCTTGCACGTCCTTCCTCTCAACAAAAGAAAGGATGTTTCGTTCCTTATGGCGCTCCACTTCCAAGGTTTGAAGGCACCGGAGCATAGCCTTGTAAATGTCATCCAATGCCTGCGTTTGGGTTCGCTCTTTGTCAAAGTACCAGAAGAATAGTGTTCGATTGGCAAGTCGGCTGCTATCCTTAGGCACTTCTTGAACATCGACTATGCCTGCCATCTGCATCGCAAGCATTTTGCCTTGTACATCACCCTTCTTCATGAGTGCGGCGGCTGGAAGCATCTTCTCGTCAAGCTTGCCCTTCTCTCGGAGAATGCGGGTCAAGCGTAGGCCATGGCGGCCGTGGGATTGTTCAATGATAGCGTCCAGTTCGATTTCCCGCAGCTTGCTTACAAGGCGACCAAAGTCCACTGTCCACTGCCCACGCCCATGCATCCCACAGTGGCGGATGAACGGATACTTGCTTTCTGCAAGGAGAAGAAGATGACGGCGCATCTGGGAGATTCGAGTATCGTTTCCATTCGTAGCATCTTCAAATCTTACTCTGTTTTCTTGTTCCCCATTAGTTGTACCATCATGGTTGTCGTCTGCCCATTCATCATCTTCATCGTCAACGTCAAACGTCTTCCTTCGACCGGGAGGACCGGCATCTGAATCGTCTGAATCGTCATCTGACTCTGGCGCTGTCTCCCTGACCCTTTCAGCACTCTGGGAATCAATTTTATCCCTTGGAGTCTTGCCAATCCCATTTTGTACGTTGATGTTTTCGTCCAGATGCTCAAATATGTCGATGGTTGTCACAGTTGGTTGTTGTCCAGGAGCCACTTCATCAAGTAGAGGGTCAGGCTGGCACCTCGGAGAATCTGAAGTCAAAAGATCAAGCACTGTGCGGTAAACTTCACCAGTGACTTCCCCAAGCACTTCTGTTGCGAGTTCTGCAAGTCGCTGATTCCGCAGCTCAACCAAGCATCTTTCGTAGCTTATCTTAACCACCACATTGGGCTGCTGAATGTCAGTCGCGAAATCAATGCGTAAATCATTGGCCGTTCTTACGTTCAGTTTCGGAGCATCGTATCCATGGCCATTTTGCGATGCTCCATTAACAAGCTTCCGTCTCTTTGGCTTAGGACCTCCGCTCATGTCAAGCTGACGCTTCAAAGTCTTGGGCTGGTCTCTATATGTTTTAGAGCGTTCGATGACCTCGCGTTGAGCCTCAATCTTTCCTTTGGTGACCTTTTCGCCTGGTCGAGGTTTGGTGACATCGTCTTCGATTTCACGATAGACATCCCTAGGGTTCCGGAAGCTCTCGGGCCGAACAGTCTCGACGATTTCTGCTCGAATCAGGCGAACAAGAACAGAGTTCAAGTGACTTTCTGATTCGATGAGGCCATCGTGTGTGTTATGTTCACCGTTGGTATGTCCATTGAGCTTGGGCGCCCTCGACCCGAAAGCCTGGGAAAGATCGGCGATTCGGGCATGGCCCAGTTGCATCAGAGTCTGGGCGAGTTCCCGCTCTGCGATGCCATATTGATTCTCAATCACATTTAGAATCTTCCCTGATCGTACAAGGTTATAGCAGGCATCAGCATCAGCTTGGTAGTTGGTAATATCGGTATTAGGGTCTGTGTAGTGGTGAAGGAGGTTTTGCTGTATCAAAACAGCAATGCCATTTCGCAAGTATCGCGGCGTGAGAGACGTGTGTTGGGCCAGTTGTGCAATAGTTGAGCGGCCTTTTGTGAGTAGTGCATTCAAGATTCGCTGTTTGCGACGAGCAAGTCAGCCCCACAATCTCACTTATATCCAAACATATAACGATATAAAACATTGCGTACCGAAGGAAGTTCGCCATGGAGATCATTAACTAGGAGAGCACAAAGCTCGGCGGCGTGTTTTGTCTGTCGTGGAAGAGCTGTCAGCTGGTATGTCTTTGATGGTTATCAAGCTGCTTCGACTCACAACGAGCATTGCTTGCTCCTAGAGATCCTCTCACTATCTCTAGAGCTTCCACAGTTGCTACCGGAACGTCATTGATTGGCAAAAACCATAAAAGAAGAATCGGGGGGCCTGCAACAGAATATATCGAGAATTTCGTTATCAGTAATGCGGGTTGTAAGGTTAAAGGGTGGAAAAGAAAATAATAAGAGAGCAAGAAGGCTGGGATGCTTTTTTTTCCCGGCGCAAATGCTAATGGATCTATGTTAATTTTTGCCTGCAACTCTGATGTAAGTCAGCAGCTGGTAGGCCTGTCCTCACAATGGGTGGGGTTCAGTGCCATTCATTCTTTTCCTAGCGCCAAAGGCTGTTTAAATGTCGTTGAAGTCACGCTGATGGGCCAATGCCACGGGTGGAAATCTGGCTGACCGGAGCCAATCACGTGACAATTTCTCTGGTCCCCGTAGCCCGAAAATTAGACGGGACCTTTTCGACGAGGCACTTCTCTTGGAGATCAATTGCTTCACCCAGACGGCCGAAGGATCGCCAATTGCCTACGCCATCACCCGCGAATATGATCTCGAGATCGTCCCTTGCGCGAACTGCGCAGCAGGCTGCCCGCCAGGCCTGCCGCGTCCAGCGACGAACCTACGCCGCCGTTGCTTCGACTGGATCATACGAGACCTCGGATGTGACTGGCCTCAAGGTTGCCTCGCGGGATGCTCACGGTCCTACTACAACGCTCGCTGTTGTGGCCAAGGCCGGTACTCGTTACCAGCCTCTTCCTGGCCTTTCTGTTGGCCTTGCCGAATTTGCCTTCAAGGTGAGAGACGAGAGCATTCAATGGAACCCCAGGACTTGAGCTAATTTGCCGGCTCTACGTAGAACACCCAGCGACGATCTGGTCTTCGCATTACTCGCGAGTCTGAGCTTCTTGGTGGTCAATTGGCTTCTTCTCACTCCAGGGAGGCTGTTGTTGTCGAGGCTAGGTTTCTCCGCGAGGACTTGCCTTACTTCACCGAGCTCCTCGCTGAGGTCATCTCCCTGACCAAGTACACAAGTGAGTAGACATTCGATTCTATGCTATAAGTACACTTGGGCCATACTAATGGATGTTACTAGCCCACGAGTTCCACGAGGATGTCGAGCGTGTTCTCCACGCCAAGCAGGCTGCCCTCAACGCCGACGTCGCCGCCACTGCTCTCGACAATGCCCACGCTATCGCTTTCCACACTGGTCTCGGCTCCTCCCTCCTCCCCAGCTCCTCAACCCCCTACCAGAAGTACTTGAACGAGGAGTACATTGCCAGCTACGCCGACGTTGCTTATGCTAAGCCCAACATTGCTCTCATTGCCGACGGTGCCTCTCCCGATTCTCTCTCCAAGTGGGTTGGCCAGTTCTTTAAGGACGTGCCTTCTACCCCTCGAAGTGGCCAAACCCTCAAGACGGATGCCACCAAGTACTTCGGTGGTGAGCAGCGAACAAGCTCCAGTGCTGGCAACTCTGTTGTCATTGCTTTCCCTGGCTCCGGTTTCGACTCCGCCAAGCCTGAGCACGCTGTCCTGGCTGCTCTCCTCGGTGGTCAGTCTACCATCAAGTGGGCTCCTGGCTTCAGCCTGCTGGCTAAGGCCACCGCTGGCACCTCCGGTCTTACTGTCAACACCTCCAACCTTTCCTACTCCGACGCTGGTCTCCTTGCTGTTCAGCTCAGTGGTCCCGCCGCCTCCGTCCGCAAGGGTGCTGAGGAAACTGTTAAGGTGCTCAAGAGCATAGCTGATGGCCAAGCGAGCCAGGAGGATGTCAAGAAGGCCGTTGCCAACGCCAAGTTCAACCTTCTGAACCAGAACCAGCTCCGACAACCCGGCATTGTCCTTGCTGGCTCTGGTATCGTCAATAGCGGCAAGCCTTACGACTCTGCTGCAATTGCCAAGGCTATCGATGGTGTCTCCGCTGAATCCATCAAAACTGTAAGATCTTACCTTGAATCTATCGGATACTTACATAAGACTAATCATTTCTTGTACAGGCTGCTAAGACTCTCCTTGAGGGTAAGGCCACCGTTTCAACTGTCGGTGATCTGTTCGTGCTGCCCTACGCTGAGGATATTGGTCTACGAGTATAAATGGAGGTCCAAGAGAGAGAAAAACTTGTACCAACAGTTTAGAAGGGATGTGGGAGAGGCTGACCTCTTTGTGAATGTTTGTAGTAGAAATCCTTTGATCCATTTTAGGCCCTTTTGTTCTCCGTTATCAATTTTATGTTGCAAGGAACTTTGTAACGCTCATCTGTCGTGAAGACAGATCGAGTTGTTCTGCTGCATTGCATTCAAAGGCGGCACTTACACTTACAGGGTTTCTTTCAGGAACGTATGAGAGCTCAAAGATAGCCTCACCAGGCGCCACAATGTTGAAGGCAACTTGAGCCTCTTTCCGCACCTGACTAACCTTTGGTTTCTTACCAGACATCCTGCCATTGAAAACATTGATATGCAACTCGGCGAAGCCAGAACCGGTCAAGTTATTACAGCCACTCATGTGTTTTAAAAGCAGTGGTTGCCCCAAACTTGCAGTCAGCATCGTATTCGTGGGTACACAAGCTGTTCCACCAACGCTGCGCCATCACCAGTATAGGCCCCCACGTCTTGGGTTTGGCCATGCAATGGGGCTTTACATGTTGTTGCTGATGATACCTCAAGCTGAATGTCACTGCAAGCGCTCAAGATTCAGTACCCATGCGGGTTATGCGCACTGTACTGTAACCCCTCTAACTCCACTGCATCCCCAGCAACGCCCACCTTAGCAGGCGTGTAAGCTTCCATTCATAGAAGCACGTTCACAGCTGGATTACCTAGAAAGAAGAAAATGGAACTGGGGCAAGGATTAAACTGCCTCACTATTTCATTGCAACTGTGGGCGATTGTGCGCACATATTGTGATTTATTACCAATTGTTGAAGTCGACTATCCGCTGCTACATGACATCGTAGCCCCCGCCTCTACTAAAACATCAATGGATCGAATAGTATGGACTTCAAAGCTTCTAGGTTAGAAACACCACTCATAAAACACAGCTTCCGAGAGCGACCCACAATATTTTCAACTGTACAGGCATTCAGACACACGACACTGGTCAAGTCACAGCACAACACTCACGATATCCGCTTGTCACAGTTCAAGGTCTAGCAGGGGACCCCTTTCATCATTGTCAGGAGGGAAAAGCCTTTCAGCGGCTGTCCCTGAGCAAACTATCCAGCAGCACAGCAACAGGGGAGGTGACTTACCTGTATTCCCTCCATTGCTGCCACTACTAAGGTACCTCCTAAGTACCTTACCTAACTCGACCTGACCTCCACTTACTGTGCTGTTCTGTCCTGTACTGTGCCGTTCCCTAGGTACCTCCTGGAGTACCTCAGTCTGAAAAACCAAAGGTTCAGGTCCCCAAGCCTCAACCACCAATTCGACTACCACCAAATCCTCGTCGCCCATCGTCTCGACTCTCCCTTCCAACCACGACCCAAACCCTCCTTTTCCGCATTCGCTCCATGCTCTTATTGCCCATTGCAAGGCAATTATAACAGCACGCGAGCTGGACGACGCTCTAGATCATTGTATCTGAGTTTTCTTTCTGTCTCTAGAGACCCAGTGAGGTAAAACCGCTCGAACCCCCTCGTCTTTAACTTTCTTCGCCCATTTTCCTGACAGCGTTTTCGTTGCAACCGCCTTTTCGCTTCTCCTCACACAACTGCTGGGCTTGGCCTCCTCCACTGTTTTTTTTTTAACTCTCAAGCACACAGCGCTCACCGGAATTCTATCTAGCGGATCAGAAACGGCTCTACATATGAATGCATGCATACAGTTACTGACTTTCTCAGGATTGAGTCAGAAGTGAGCGGTTGGCAACTTACTATAGCTTTGGCCTTGGCCCAACAGACTCAACCCAGCTCCATAAGGTAGCTATCGCAACGCCCGACTATTGTATTGATCTTCTCAAGCGTCATCTCAAAGTAAGTACTTACATTATAATCTATCTCTCCCCTCTATCGAGTCGACTTTGTGTTTCCCCTTATCGAGCATCCTCAAACCCACGATTGTCGGGTAATCCACTGTAGTCACGCCATGGTATCAGGACGTGGCCTCTAATGATATACTGTTGAGCTCTATGCTCCCCGCCATTGCGTCTGAAAAGAGAGACTTGATGGCGCTTGGAAGGCTAACACCCGCTCCTATTTAGAATCGCAAAGTCGCTTCCCGTCCGCCTGCGATCCCAAACGAAACATACACAATCATCCCGCATCGTCACTTGAGCTTCTTTTTGGTTACCTGAATGGTGACCGAGCTTCATACAACCTGATTCTCTTTTATAAGTCTTTATAACGACTGGAGCGTTCCTGAACATGCCCGTTCCGAAGAAGGATGGAATAGCTGGTGGGGGCTCTGGGGGCAAACAAAATGGTTTGTTGTACAGTCCTTTCGAGCAAGAACAATTATCTAATCCTGGGCGATATAGGAGGCCGGGCTGCATTCCGAACCGATACTGCCATCTCCAAAAACCGATTCGGTAACGAGCGAGTTCTTCAACCTTGGGTCCCCGATTCGAACGAAGCTTTCAATGGCGGCCTCGAAAAGCCTAGTGGTAGTGGTACTTGGGATCAATTCGCCGAGAACGAGAGGCTCTTTGGATTGAAAACCAATTACGATGAGAACTTCTACACTACCGCTATTGACAAGAATCATCCAGAATACAGAGAGAGGATAGCTGCGGCAGACAGGAAGGCGCGCGAAATTGAACGCAGTGCGCCCACTACTGCTCACGTGGCTGAGGAACGTATCATGGACTACGTCGGTGGAGATGATGGGGGTGATGAAGAGGACAAGTAGCCATCCCTTTCCCGGTCATTTGTTCGTATGGCTAACCATGATTCCCCTACAGATACAGTGGTGTCCGGCGCCAAGACTTCCCACCTCTATCCGCTGGGCGTGAGAACAAGTACACTCCACCAGCCAAGCGGGCACCCGCGGCTCAATCTAGTGTCAAAGGTGCCCCTATTGACCCTGCTATCATTTCTTCCCAGATCAAAGCACCACCCAAGAAGCAGGCTACGCCAGCTCCCGAAGAGTCCAAAACTCAGTCTTCCGATGCTATCAAGAACGGATCACTGCCGAAAACTGATACGCAGAAAGCTCCTGCAGAAGTCAAGGTCACAGAGCCCCCAACCAATGACTCAAAGCCTGCCAATGGCAAAGCGGCCGAGACAAAGTCAAGCGAAACCTCTAAAGCTGCCCCAGCTCCTGGAAGTCAGGGTGCTCCTGCTCCCAGTGCTACTTCCACAGTCGAACACGATGTGTTGAAAGAATTCAAGACATTTGCCAGCCAGCAACGACAGAACGCCGAGAAAGCTAGAAGCAACAAAGCCAAGCAGGACAAAGAGGTCAAGCTGACAGAGCTAAAGAAGTTTGCAAACTCTTTCAAACTCTCAACCCCAGTCCCTACAGATTTAGTCTCCATCATAGCCAAGGATCCCCTCAAGCAACAGGAGATCCAGGCTAAGGCTATAAAAAATGCTGAAGAGGTGGCCAAGGCCAAGGCTACCGCCGTGACTAAGGAGAAGGTTGCTCCATCAAAAGATTCCCAGGCTAAAACCTCTGGTCAAGGTGCACCAGCTGCGGCTGGTGCATCTGCTCCTCCCAGTGATACCCGAGCAGCCCGTGGTCCGGCCGGTGCTCAGCCTACGCCTGCAGCCGGGGGACAACCTCGCCATCCTGGTGCTCGCCAGCAGTACGCCCAGCAGCCTTATCATGGACAGCAGTATCGAAACAACCGTCCCCATATGCCTCCGCAACAACAAACCGGCACTCTGGCCCAGCGACTACGCAGTGTTGAACAACAAAAATACTCCCAACCTCCGGCACCCCATCAGGGACACGCTCCTGGTCAGGAAACCCGTGCTCCCCCAACAGGGCCAGCCAGTGGTGTCGAGTCTGGCTATAATCGACGCCTCAGCGGTAACCCCAGCCATATGGGCGCAAAGCTGAACCCTAACAGCCACGAATTCAGGCCCAGCCCGTTCGCGGCTGCCTTCAATCCCAATAGCCATGCCAGTGCAGCCTCGAGTCCTCGATCTGCTGCTAACAATGTCGATGCCTCAACAAGCAGTGGCGTTTCTGATGGTCAGCTCATCCGCCGTAAGACAAAGGCCATTGATGTCAAGAAATGTTATATACTGTCTCATATCCAGACCTTGACACCCCCTCAAGGGAGAAACTGGGACGAAAACGCCGGCCTGCGCCCTTCTTTCGATACACTGCCCACCTGGCGGCAGCTCCAAGACAATGAGAAGCCCGAGTCAACGATGCATTTGACTTACAAGGAATACTTCGAACGCCAGCCATTTGGCGGTCCTGCATTGGCTACCCCGAACCCTCAACATGTTGTTCCTCAGATTCCACACCAACATCAACTACCTTTCCACCTCCAGCAGGGTGCGCACAACATGGCTCCTAGGGGCTCGCCTCATATGCCTCCCATGCAGATGCACACACCTCAGCATGGCCATGTTCCTCATCCGCCATATGGAAACGATGATCACCGGATGATGCACTCAAACTCGGCTCAGTCTTTTGCCTCGCCCCGCCTCGGCAACGTGCCTGTAGCTTACAATTCTCCGCAAGTGCCGTACAATCAGGCAGTATTCATGGGACCTGGCACGCCTCAGATGAATCAGTTCCGCAACTTCTCTAATAATCATCAGTACATGGCTCCTCAGCAGGGCCAGATGGGTGGCCCGATGATGATGCCGCAGCAGTTTATACCTGGACCTCAAGGAATGGTTCCTGGCCCGCAGATGATGTATCCTGGAGGACACCCGCAATTCATGCCCCCTTCCGGACCTCAGCCAGTACCTGGTATTAATGGTTATCCTAGCCCTGGTCGTCCCGCGGCGCCGATGATGGCGCATCAGGGATCACAACAAGGACAGCCTATGTATGGAATGAGCCCCAACGTGCAGTACAACCAGCCGGTTTTTAACCCAGGCCAACAAGGCGGTCCAAGTAAGTCATGCTGACACCCGTCGCCAAGCAGAGAATTAACAAGCGACTAACGCCAGTGTAGTGAGGGGCGGATA